TACAAAGACCCAAGTTATACGAAGCTGCACGAGCACCTACAGCCAGGATGTCACTGGGCTGCACCAGCTGGTCACTACTTGATGACTCAAAATAACTGGCAGAAATTCTCTGTTGCACTCTCACTAAATTATGAGTGTTTGCCACCAAGCACAATGGCATTTTGCAATTGGCGTGGATGTTTTCTGTCCAGGTGTCCAAATAGACCCGAAGATTTTTGAGAAGAGTTTAAGATAACCGTTCCAAATTTTTATTAACATGAAAGTAAAACTCATGCAACAAGACCCTGCTCTTTGAATCGTCCAAATAAATTAAGAACCCATGCAAACGTTTCAACATAGTTTGGAGATGCCTTTGCAAATGCCATAGTTCCTAACAGTTGCAGCCCAGTAAGATGCTGCATTGAATAAAAGTCAAGTCAAACTGAGCCCAAAATACATATTCTGAACGTTAAAGAAAGCTAAGTATTGCTTGACATTACAGTGCAATGAATATTTAAGAATTGAATAATATGAATCAAAGCTGCAGAGATTTCTGCTGCAAACCTGCTGAGGTTTGTTGAGTCGACTCAGCTTTACCTCTTTCCTACTGTGGTGAATCCCAGTCCCTCTCCAGGATGAGCTACCAGTTCCAGACTGAAGACGTCCCACAGGTCCTCTTCCCTGTAGGCCTCCTGGTGCCTGAAGACGCACAGCCGAACACGCTGCGTGGTGAGCCGCAGCACAGCTATGGCCTCGTCATGCGTGGCCTGCCGCAGGTCAATGTCATTCACCTGAGAAGATAAAGACATTCTTCAAAGGGGGTTTATGACGTAATGGTAATTAGAAAGGTACAAGAAGACGACTGTCATGGCATCAGTACAATATGTCTTATATGTATTGGGGCTGACTCTCAGCTACTACCACACCAAATTTAAGCTCAAAATGATCATAATCAATTGTAGATGAACATCCTTTAATTACTTTCTGAGATAGTTATCAAAACCTGTCCAGTGGGTTAGACATATTTTGCTAACAGGAAGACAAACAAGCACATATACATAAAAAATGTTCAAACATAATGATGTGTATGCACCACTTGCTTACTCTAATCGTTTTGGAGTTGCCTGCGTGCATGTATCCATCATACCTCTAATATTTGGTCTCCAGCCTGCAACCTTCCATCCCTCTGCGCCGCCCCTCCATCATTTACTTCATGGATTATTACTGCCCCCTGGCGTACAAATAAGAAATCCCTCATCATTACTGAACACAGTGTGACAAAAGAAAAGAATGCACATTCATTTTCTCTAATTGGCTGCTGTGAGGTTGTTTAGATTTGATTATCAAGAACGAGCGCAATAAAAAAAAAAATTGAGTGCACATTATTTTCCATTTCAGATGTTGCTGCATAATTTGTTCAAAACATAACAAATGATCCTTGACTGGACGGGTTAATTAAAGTGTGGATTTCAAATACCAGCTGCTTGTTCTTACCAGCAGAGTGTCACATCCTCCTACTATGCTGAGGCCCAGGCCCAAACTCCCTTTGCTAATCTCTATGGTGGTTTCCTTCCCAGCAACAACGGGGCCGCCCGGGGGATCAGAAGTTGGGGGAGGGGTGCTCAGACAATCAGAACGTTCCACTGGAGAGATCCGCATGGCGTCAAGAGATGAAGAGGGAGTTGAGGAGAGCTGAAGGAGCTCAGATGAAGCAGCAGGGATGAAGGAAGGATCTGGAAGTGAAGAGGAGGGAGAAGGAGAGACAGAGGCACTCTTGGAACGACTGATGGAGAGCTTGACAGTGACCCGGTGTTTGAGAATCAAACTGGACACCTGAATATAAAGAGGACAGGCAACTCATAAATCATTGAATCATCTTGACCTTGAAGAGCATATTAAGCAGTATTTGTGTGTGTGTGTCTGGGGTGTGTGTGTTTGAACCTTTTCCTCTGACAGTCCAGCCACAGCTTCATCACCCACAGCAACGATTCTGTCTCCAACTTTTATTCTGCCGTCCTACAAGCAGAAATGAGGGTAAAAATGTTTTAAAAAAATTAAAAAAAGGAAGAGCATGTGATTAAAATACATAAAAGGAATTAAAAATCAAAAACACCCTCTGGATAAATATCTGCATTGATGCTGCCTGGGGCCCAACATAAAAGCTCAACACATGATGACATCCTTTTACAAACCAGCAATCATCATGTGGAAATGAATCCCGTTTAAACATTTCCAGAAATACAGGAAACATTAGATCAAAGTTCACATTCGTACACTCCACATCAATGGGGTGAATTATGTATTTACTCTCATAAATGTGGAATTACTGATCAAACCACTGAGGATTGATAAACCGAAAAAAAAAAAAAAAAAAGAGATTTCCTGAAACCGTGTGCTGAAAACACTTCAGTAGTTAATCAAGCCATTGCAATGGTAATATTTAACATGAGTTTTACATGGATGAAGTCTATGTTGTGGAATAATTTGCCAAATTACATTTTCATCACGTCATAATTTGTGATTTAATTTGGGGGGTTGTTTGTTTGTTTTCTTTTTTTCGGGTCATATTATTAAATTAAATTTTCAAGTAAAATTGGCCGTGAAGTACCACAAGGATTTGTTTAAGGACTGATACTTTTGTCTGTTTGTACATTATGGGTTACATTTTCTCAAGACAATATATATATATATTTTTTTGCACATATATATATATATATATATATATATAT